CTAATGAACCTAGTAATATTGTAAGAGATTCATCAACTAGGAATAACCAGAAAAAAAATAGTATACAAAATGAATTGGTTTTAAAAATATGAATAAAATAAATTAATGTCATCCGACATTCGACGTTAAACGAGTTCGTGATATCCTAATGATTGTAAAATGGTTAACGTTTAAATAACAAATTTATCCCATTTGGAAAATAGTTATGTATACAAGATTTTAATAATAAATTGGAATTATTTGGAGCATTTGCCGAGTAAGTTTTGAAGAAATGAGGACTTGTCTCTTGAATCTTGAGCAAGAGATGAGTCAGAGGCACAGATGAAATCTCAGAGAGAACGTTCAACGTTCAAGAGCTTTAAATTCCACAAGGCAGTGTACTGCGACCACGAAACACTAATTTTCTACATTTTTTGAAAGAAAGTAAATTTTATTCTGGGACATTTAGTCCCCTCAGAATAACAACAGTGTACAAAGAAATGACAATTGTCTGGCGATTGTGAATAATTAAATGACAACTAAAATTTAATTAATTCACAAAAAGTTGTCTAACCTCAATATTAAAATAAAGAATCATGTAAATTTTCCATAGTATTAAAAATTCTTAGTATTAAAAATGTACATCCCACCACGACAAATTTTTAGGCGGTAGCCAAGAGACTTTTTAACTTAAATCCTACCTGGAATAAGAGCAGGTTTACTTATTGCAAACAAAAAAAAAAAACTTTGCAAATAGTAGATTTCAAGTATTACACATTTATCTTAATAGTAAATAAAGAACTTTGAATACAATTTAATACTGCACAAAATAGTTAATTTGAGATGCCTGTGATACAAATACTCTTAGATCAAATAAATCTAGCAATGAAGTTCTGTTTGCCAAGTGGTCTCAAAGACGAACTTCCACAAAGGGAAGCACTTGTTTGCATGAAGTCCTCCAAAGCACGCCTACTACTTGGGGGAGCTTCAAATATGGCACATGAGGGTTATTTCGTAAGGCTAATAATTCATTCCGAATAACAAAATATCATGAAACGAGAAAAAATATATATTGTTTTAAAATGAGGAACAGTCTTAACGAACCCTATTTTACACTTAAGGAAATAAGAATAAACAAAAATTAAGAAAGAATACGAGATATTTACATAAACATAGTAGATATATACATAACAAAAGCTCGTAGTCAGCAATTGAAAAAGCCGAATAATGAAATATTTAAATTATAAACGACGAAAAATAAATAATTTCATTCCACCTATAAGAAGGTTTCTCTCATTTAAGACATAAATTTTCAGTTATTCGTAATCTGCAAATCAAAAAATAAAAAAATCTCGTCGAATGCCACGATTCGATAGTTCCTGTTTTCGTAACATAAATTACGTCAAAACATGATTTGATTTGATTTTTACAGTTACGAGATATCATTTATTAATTAAATATTATTAGATCTTAAATTAGATTAGACACAAACAAATTAGATTCTCAAATTTTAATGTTGAACTATTTTTACTTGGGGATTCTTACTTCTTCAACTTTAGTAACAAAAATATCTAAAATTAGCAATGAAGTTTCATTTAACGAAAAGTTTTTCTGAATAACTATTTTTCCGAAGTTTTTAGTAGAGATTTTTATTTTTTTTCTCATATAATTTATTCATGAAGCTGATATTTCGGTATCTTGATTTTAATAACAAAATAAATAATAAAAAGAAAAACTATTGGATGTAGGTAGATGTTAAATATTTAAAAACGATTTCAGTCCTAAATAGTGGCTCTGCTCAGCGACCACTAGTCCTTAATACCAGTAATGTGACTGAGTGAGAAGCGCTGGGATCTCCTAGAGTCCTGCATTTTCTTCCAAGAGTGCGAGAGAGAAAGGCTTGGCTACGAGATTTTAAATATTTATTTTAGTTTATATACCTACATTTGCTTTTAGTATTATTGTTTTCCTGTTTATTTTTTATTTTTTACTTTCCTACCTATACTAGGTAGGGGAAGTATTGCGATCGGGTCAAATTTCGGATTTATACGCGGTTTTCGACGGATCTATACGTTTCAGAGCTCCTTGAGTCCAGAAAACACATTTTCAGCCATTGGTCTGCCTGTCTGTCTTTGCCAAAATTATTAGTCTGTTTTTTTGAATGGTAAAGAAATTCCCTACAAAACTAAATAAAAATGGTTCATTTCGGACAACTATTAACGAAGTTAATAGCTATTCAATTTCCTATGTAAGAATACGGGTCTAAGCGGTGAATGAGAGAAAAGAAAGAAAAGTGAAAGTAAGAAAATCTGTTGCCCGCATCACACAAGTTTTCTCTCCATTATAAACAGAAATTATTGTTTGACAAAATTGGGCTAAGGTAAAAAAGTTTTTGATTAACATTATTAGTGTATTAATTTTTTTACCCTGATCTATCTTAAGCTGGTTTACATTGCTTTAGTTTATCTAAGAAATCGTACTTAAATCTTTTCTTTCATAAATTTTCAGATAAATAAATCTAATTCAAAATTTTTTTTGGTTTCTTGATGGACATATTTAAAGATATCAATTTGTTTCTGAAATAGGTAGGAAAGTCGTGTGAATGGACACACCAGATTTTTTTTTATTGCACATGGAGTGTGAATATGTTCAATGAACGCTATTATAAATGTCCTTAATTAGACAGATTGTAATATTTCTTAGTAACAAGTTCTAAATGATAAGTTTTATTTTTTATTAAAATGTTGTTTGCTACTTTTAAGGGCATTGATATCAGCCAATATATTTGTATTACATCATTTAGAAACGTACACACTTTTGTAGCAATTTACGGCACTAGCCACAAATATCTAATGTATTTTAAAAACTAATACAAAATTATTTTAAAAAAAAATTAAAAAATGCTTTTACTTATTTTCCCTGAAGGCAAGTTTACTAAGGATTATCATAACAAAAATGATAAATTTTTTTATTCCATTCCGTCCTACTTACAAGCGTATGATAAAAACGCTATAAAACATTTATGATAAATATAAAACCATGCAATAATAATAGTAATTACCATCGTAAAAAAATTGATAAAATACCAATTTCCCTGGGATATTAAATAATAAAATCGTAAATCCAATAACTGATCATGAATAATGGGATATGGACTTATTAACATTTACGATACTCACTCAATAACAAGACAATATTGCAAATCAATGTAATTTAAATCAAGGTAAGGTGTGAAAACAGGTTAAGCATGCAAAGTCCATTAGTCGGAGAAAATGCATATACACAACATCATGTATTCACACATCACTGGATATTTACACGTCAATTGCATCAAAGTTATACAACATGACTAAGTGTAGTATCAAGGTAATTCGCAAATGGTTAACAATCCGTGATATCTACTATGTATAATACAGTATAGTATAGATCCATTTTCCGGCTTTAAGTAGCAGTGGAATTCGATCCAAAGTTCAGGCCTTCATCAGTGCTAAGGAAAGACCAGATAATAATAGATTTAAGAAACTATTAATATTAAGAGAAAAAAAAAAACCATATATGTAAAAGGTCTAAATGACATGTAGGTAGAATAAACTTAATATTAGTAAATAACTTTAATAACATTAATTAATAACTTTCCTTAGCCGTTGGGGCAGAAACGTCGGCAAAAATAAAAATAAATATCATTTATTTATTTTTATTCTGTATTTTTGATTCAACACCCAAACCTAACTTCTCTTCAATTAATAATTAAATAAGTTTTTAAGATATGAAAATATATTTGGCCCTCCGCGAAAACCAAATAGAGATCCTGCAGAATTTATTTTAAAATTATCTGGCTACCGTTTAATACGAATGCTAAATATGACATCCCAGTCTTAATGGAACGTAAATATTTGTTTCATTTAACATAAATAAACCGTAATGAAATTGTGAATGGGTGATTCATATAGAATAATTTAGAAATAATATTCAACAGGTAGTACATTATGCTTTGATGTACCTAAATTAATTCGTAATTTGTTGAAGTGTTTCTACGTTTTTTTGTTTTTTTTTCTCATTCATCATAAAATAATTTTCATGAATGTGGATGGAAAGAAGTAATAAAAAATCACTTACTACATAGTAAGAAGAAATTCGATTTTACATCTTCATGAAATAAATGAGTTGCTTCCAAACACTAATCAACTTTTATGAAAATTAAAATGAGTATCGATTCTCATGTATAAATAACCAATAATCTGATGGAGCAATTATTTTTATTCAAAAACGAACCTGAGGTGTAAAAATAAGTTTATTTAGTAACGAAACTTAGATATTCTTTAAAACAAAATTAATCAAAACGTTTTTTAATTCGTTTTATTCAAACGAAAAATTAAAAATATATTTGTATTAATTTTTAATTATTTTATAAATTTAATTCTTTTTAAAACTGGGAGTTTTAACTGAAACTCCTTGCTGAACGCACCCCCTTGAAGAAGACCGACAAAGTCGGGACGAAACGTTGGCTTGAAATAAAATAGTCTTTCCACTATTTTAGTCTCTTAATGACAATCTCTTTATTCTAAATTAAGTTTAATTCTTTCCATAAGCAATTCTACTCAAGTTTCAATGTTTTCTTTTTTTAATTACTGCTACAATGGTCAGTAATTTTCATGAAAAAAACTATGTTCTATAAATAAAGAATTTTTTAATTTATTATTATAAAAGATATTGGTTTTGATACTACAGTTGGAAGAGAAAATATAGTATTTTGCGTTTCTTGAAAAATATTTAATAATGATTATGGTCCACTCTGGAAATTAACGAATCAAATATAATACTACCATCAACACTATTTAAAAAAAAATTAGAATTATAAAACGAAAACAAAAATTATTACAACAATAGTAAATGAACTCAGTTGAGATTTACTGAATTCCTTTTCTCAGCTGATTGGATAAGATATAAGTAAACCTAGATTAACGCGATGGCAAACATAAGTAAACTTAGTTTAAAGCCTAGAATATTTTATTAATTCAGGATTAAATTTTTATGTATATATCGTATCCATCTGGTGAAGGTGGACTATAAGAATTGGGCTCATGGTCGAATGACCCGAAATCGGATACTCTGTCAACCTTCTTGCCTCTCAAAGAGTTTGGTAAGGGCCTTGGGTGGTAAGAAACACCACGCGACGGATAGTTTCTATAAAATATTATAAAGGTTTTCACAATTCAAATAACATTTTTAGGTGAAAAGAGTTGTTTGTTTAAAGAGTTATTTTAATATTATTCTTAATAAATACTTAATAAAACTAACCAATTCGAGTTGGGGAGAGGGAGAGGGAAGAAGGAGTACTTTTGAGATGGATACAATTTTTTTCAAGTTTAGCATAGTAATTGGATTATTATTATATAAGTAACATGTTTTTTAAATATTAGGTAAAACTAAAAAAAAAAATATATATGTATATATTTATATGTAAATACGACAACGTTAATGAAAGCCGCTAAAGAACTAGGGCTCGAAATAAACACGAATAAGACAAAATATATGGTCAGCTGCAAAAAAATGGCGTTGTTGCTAGTGATATCCATATAGAAGGTAATATATTTAAACAGGTAGAGAAGTTTAGGTATCTAGGTTCTACGATAAGTAGAAAAAAACGAAATTGAAGAGGAGATTAAGGTTAGGCTGTAGGCGGGAAATACTTGTTATTTTTCTGTGACAAAACTAATTTGCTAGCGCCTTTTGCCCAGGAATTTAAAAACTAGAATCTATAAAATCATTATCCTGCCTACAGTTCTTTATGGATGCGAAACGCGTTTCTTACATTAAGAAATGAGCAACGTCTTTGATAATAAGGTATTGCGTAGAATATTCGGACCTATTATGTATATTTAGAAACATACATAATTACTCCACCTAAAGTTATTCTTAAGAAGTAAAATGGAATTAAAACAAAGATGTTTGCACAAATGTCACACAAACATACGACTGGGTCGGGGAAGGAACTCCTTAAATGGAAACCTATGACATCCTAACAATGGAACCCCATTCTCTATGATCTGATAATGTCACTGTGTTGAATCATGTTTGTTCCTACGTTGTAACTGGCAATAGATAGTTCACCTGTCCTGGTTCAGTGAGGAAAATAACTCCTCTCTTAATATGTTTTTATTTTCCTCTATAGAACAAACTCGAGAAAAAAAGGTGGCTTTAAAAATAATGCGCCGTTTGGCGTGACCTACACTCCCAAAATGACAAAATAACGAGCTGTAGAGGCCAAACGGCCGATTATTTTTGTAGAACACATTTTTCTCGATTTTGTGGTCAAATTACGTAACGATCCAAATGGAAAGCAAATGGGTCTATGCGAGTTTGTAGTACTCAATTAAATAGACAAAGTATGCCGACCTCCAGATTGAAAATTCCTAGAATTTAGGTTACGATGAGATAAAGCTATTTACGAAGTTTATAATTTTATAAAAAGGTGTCTGTACCAGGGACTAATAAAAAGAATTAATAAAGGTGGTAGGGCAGGATTTCCAGTGTGTCTACCATAATGGACCCCGCCATAGTCTGAATCTCATTCCTTTGAAGACCTAGCTTTTCCAAAAACTTACCAGTTGAAGGAGGTATTTCCCCCCTTTAAAAATACCACTCCAATCTCTGAAAAATCTTGGGTACAATACATGGTTAAATATGTATGGTTGTAAGGAGATGTGGTCAGCCATTCTCAACCGCTAGAATAATCAAATGTATACTCATTAAACGTTCAGCCAATAGAGAAAACCGCGACTAAGGTTTACCATTTTACTTTAGCATTACTGCCATCCATCGATATTAGTATCAAACGAATTAACTTATTTGGAATGTTGAAATCTCCTAGAGCACGTATCATGATATATAGAATAGAATTCACGCTAGCAAAAAATGTCAGTATTTTAGTAAAATGCTTGGTACTCAGTACTCAAAGTAGCATTTACACTATAAAGAAATAATCAGTTTTATGCTCTTGTGAAAAAAAAAACAACTCATTTTTACACACGACCTTTACAACGACACTAACAGTAGCTATATTTGATATGAAAATATTTTTTTTATTATCCTAGGACTGTTGCATTTTAGGACAAATAATGATACAAAAAAAATGCCTGACCATACATTAAATTAAATATTTACAATTCTCATTAAAATTAAAATATTGAAAAAAGAATAAAATAAAACAAAAACATACAGTGGGTGTTTTCATTCAGTGAGTCAGGACGCAATCATTATAAACTTTTTATTAGTGCCGACGTTTCAACCCAAACATGAGGGTCATCATTAGGGTGTGGTACTAAAGTAGTTGACTACCTTCAGTGCTCGAACCACGACATGATGATGACCCGTATGTTGGGGTTGAAACGTAGGCACTAATAACAAGTTTATAATGACTGTGTCCTGAATATTTATCACCCATTATATGTAGAACAGTCGACTAACTTCCTTCAATAAAAACATACAGATATACATAATACAAACATGGGAAAATAAAATAACATAAGTAGAAAAAATCATTTCTGGGGGAACTTAAAAAGTTATCTTATCTACTTTTTATGATCAATTGGGTTGGGAAAGAAATAGGTGCTTAAAAAGGATAGATTTAAATGAAGAAACTAATTGTGCATGTCGAATATCGGGAGGGATGATATTCCAGGAGGAGACGGCTTGAATTATAATTTGTCAAAAGCACCAGTTCGGTGAGGAGGTGGATAGAGGTTGGAAGTACGGGATCTACTGAGATGGGATTGAATCGAATATTTAAATATAAGGCTGTGAAAAATATAGGAAGGTCGCAGAGTTCTGATGGCTTGGTACAGAAATATTTGAAGCATGATCAATAGCCCTGTAAAATTTGATAGGAGTTATCAGTGAACCTGCTTTAAATACATCTTCGTTTTTTTGTTGCTGCAAGCAGTTTTCAAAACGAATAGCCATTATTTTGTACTAATTCTTTGTAGAGGAGAGGGCTACAGGAAGAGGCAGATTTAGCGGCTGACATCACGCTACTTCCGCCAAGGCAATTGTCACAGCTGATGTAGCACGAAGGCCTTTTACTCCGATTGTACTCTTCTTCGTGCCTTCCAGCGCTTCAACGACACGAACGCTATCCGCTGTAGGCGCTGCTAAATGGAGGAGTATCCCTTATCGATGTTTATCGCAGGGGCTACTTCAGTTGATTATATATCAACTAGTTAATGTACCGGTAATATAACACTTTGAGAGAAATTTCCAACAATTAATCCTTGCTTATATCGTCAAAATTAATACTTTTTTTTAAGGTAAAATTGTTACATGAGCATAGATCTAGGGGTTTCCCTGTATAAAAAACAACGATGGTGTTAATATTCGAGCTATTATAAAGGCATCATTTAAACAATTCTATTTCGAACTGGTATCATATTGACATCACACATCCTACATCATCATGCTTAATCAGCACATACGCACGTACACAGATAATAATGATTCTATTGTCTATTTACAGTATACCCATGGAAGACCACCAAGAGCACTCAGATATAATTGGAAGCCGAGAGGGAAAACTGGATTGAGATTAATACCATCATCCATCAAGCTGGTAATGTGATAGCAACTGATTATATCCATTTACTGATACAATTTGGAACTGTTGATAAATCAAATATTGCAATTTATTTAAAAGATTTTGTTGTAAAACAGTCCCGTAATGTAATCCATGGTCTCTCATTCGAGAGGTAAAAGATTACATAAATTAATTTCTAAAGTTCAAGTAAAATTTTATTGGGTTGGCAAATAAGTCCTTTCGGTTTTTCTGTTTATTTTTATGTCACTACGATAAACTTCTTATCTGATGAATCAATCCACAAGAGGGATTGTTTATCCTGTTTGTAATATGTCAACAAATATAGCTGTTAACTGTTGCTGAAACTAGCCTAGTATTGTGTTTGCTATTGTACTTTGAATATGGAAGAAAATACCATTCATTATGGATATATTTTGTTTTGTATTGTTTTAAAAAAGGTAAGCGTGCTGCAGAAGCTCATAGAAAAATTTGCAGTGTTTATGGGGATGACGCCTTAACCGAACGCACCTGTCAAAATTTGTTTGCTAAATTTCATGTAAAAAATTTTGACATCAATGATGCTCAACGGTCTGGTAGTCCACATGAAATTGAAATAAGCAATGTTAAGGACATTGTTGATCAAAATCTCACTCAGTCAGTGCGAGAGAATCCTCTGGGCCTAAATGTGTCGCACACAAGTATAGAAAACCATTTGCTCAAGCTCGGCTATGTTTGCAGGCTTAATGTTCTCACTCTCTAACCAAAGTCAACTTGGCAACGCGCAGTTCTGTCTGTGATCCACTACTGAAACGGCAATAAAACGATCCATTTTGGAAAATATTGGTTACAGGAGATGAAAAATGGATATTTTATGATAATGTAGTCAGTCGAAAATCTTGGGAAAGTGAGACTCTTAGAAGAATGTCAAAACCTGGAATGCACCAAAAAAAGAAAATGCTTTTCATATGGTGGGATTTCAAGGGTGTTATTTTCCATGAGCTATTGTCATCACGACAAACCATTGATTCAATTCTATACTGCTCACAATTAACAAAATTGGATCAATCAATTAAAAATAAACGCCTAGAACTAGCAAATCGGAAGAGTATTCCACCAAGAGATCCCATTGGCCACTCGCAATAAATTATTGAGCCTTGGATTGGACCATTTGCCCAACTATTCCTATTCATCAGATCTAGCTCCAGCTGACTAACACTCATTCCCGTCTCAGCAAAACTCCATGAATGGAAAGAAATTCCAAAAGGAAGAGGACATCAAAAACCACTTGATCATTTTTTTAACAATAAACTCCATACAATCTATGAATATGGCATTATTCAGTTAGTGGAAAGATGGGAAAAAGTCATATTAAATAATGTTAAATATTATTATTAAGGAGATTATAATAAATGTTATGTCTATAATATATTGAGTTTTATTTCATTCTGAAAAACCGAAGGACTTATTTGCGTGCCCAAAAGAATGTTTTTTTACTTCTTAGCAATCTTTATAATTGTTGTAGAAAACATATTTGATCATCAACAAAACCATAGAAGCAGCTAGATATCACAACTGACTTTATCATAGCATTATACACACTTTATTTAAGATTGCTAGAGATTTTTCGAAATTCAATACCTTTGAAAGAGAGAAAAATGTTCTGTTAGCGATTTTTATACGCAAACAGTAAAAGTATACTATACATCAGTTAAAATATAACATTATTTTTTATAATAAATAATTTATCTAAACTAATACCAAATTTTAATGGCTGTTTAATTTGTAAATGTTCAGATATTGTCTTTATTTATTATCGTTTTTAGTTATCTATTAGCCTTCTATTCCATGTATAATTAACAGTGAATAATTAATTTTTCCTTTGTTATTAGTAATTTTTATTAACATTATACTTCTCTTGTTGTTTTTTATTTATGTTGCAAAAGTAATTCCAACTCGGAACAAACTTCCGATCAAAGATCGTGAGCCTTTCACTTTCTCAAAACACGAATGAAGTGAAACGTTGAGAAATAGAGGTTTGTAGAACAGTAATATACGAGGACTATTTTTTTTTTCCACTAATACTATCGTGATATAAATTTTAATTTATCGAAAAATTATGTAAACTAAAGGTTTCCTTAACACGATTTTTTGACAAACTAAAATAGTCAGGAAAATGGTATAAAACATTCAAACCATAAAATGAAAAATAGCATGTGAAGTGTAATAAGTAAAAGAGAATTAAGTTTTTTTTTCTAGTATAATCCTCTCACTAAAATATTTCCATAAGGAATTTCAATATCTTTTTTTATGTATTTATTCAAATTACCCAGCGGTTTATTGAAGTTACCGGCGGCACTCTCTAAATAATTATAAGTAAGAAGATTACGAGACCATCTTCTTTTCAGACGCCTAGAAGGATTATCGGGAATTGAGGAAGAAGCAAGGCTGGAAACCAGTGGATTCGGATGGGACTGGAGTTCATCATGAAAGGATAGATATTTGGCATGAGCTAGGTCAGCGAAGTTTAATATTAAAAAGCGAAGTCTAAATTGCCGAAAAGATAAAAATGTTAACCTTAATTTTTTTCTAAAACAATAATGAAATCACCATTAAATAATGAATAACTGTTAAAAATGTATAAATACATTTTGTAGTAATAATGGAATGAAATAAATTTATTCTATTCCAGCATTGCTGTAACTATTTCATCTTTAACTTTATTACTTTGTCAGTGTTACTTTATAACTCCATATTCGATTGTGTATGTATATATATATATAAATATATATATATATATAATTTATTTACCTATTTTCTTTATTCACCTTCATTAACTTCATTCATTACTTCCATATACCAGGCTAATTTGTTTTGTTTTTCCCACATGTATCAAACAAGCCATTGAATTAAATTATAAAAATGTACTACTGATTATTGTATTTTCTGACTGCTACTTATGCTGACAACGCAGCAATTCTCACAAAACATCATGACCCTACTACACAAGTCTCACTGACGTTACAATATCATTTAGATAAATTACAAGACTGGAACAAATTATGGAAATTCTACTAAATCACGATAAATCGAAACACATTACATCTACAATTCGAAGAAATGCCTGCATTCCAATTTATATCGAAAACCAACAAATATCTCAGACGGACACCGTACACTACCTTAGTCTTCCCTTTGACAGAAAGATGACATGTTAAAATGAAACGGAAGACCCTCAATAGACGACTCAAACTATATTACTCACTTTTTTTAAATCTTCAAAACTAGAACTGAGACAGAAACTAAATAAATAGCTATACTTATTTAAACCAATATGAGTTTACTCTCCATAGAAATACGGTATAGCTAAAATATTCACTTACACAAAGGTCAAACTTTCCATTCAAAAATATAGACTTCCTCCTATTTTTTACATACGATTTTATAATAATTTGCAAGGACATACTAATCAGAGATATGGCTTCAGCTGACATAACCATCAATATGAGGAGGAGAATAAAAAGGCGCGGGATGAGAGACCTCCTTTCTTCCTTTAATTGATTCAAGCCAGAGAAGAGGTACTGCTGGGTGCTATCCTTCTCCATGCCTGTCAGTTTCATTACTTCCATCATACCATCTGCTGATTATCAACAGATGTCGACAGGTGTAAAATTTAAATTCATAAAAAAAAATTATATTTTCATATTTTATCATTACATAAACCACTTACATATATTAATTTTTATTTACTTCTTACAATTTATTTATTAGTAGATAACATGTGTTTTGTGATTTCGTTATTTTGACTTTTCTCATATCTGATAAAGGCCTCGGACCGAAACGTCAACACAAAATAAAATAAAATAATTTTATATTTATTTGTGTTTCTCACTTTTATTATTCATGACTGCAATTCTCAACTTCCCAAAAAATAAAACATTTATAAAAATAAAAAATATCGAGCAATATTGTCTGATTGATTTCAAATGAAGTGACCCTATAGATAATTTTAACAGGCGATTATATGTTTTATACGTGCTGTGTAACCAAGATTAAGGAAGCATTGGAAAAAATAGAAGTCTTCTCTCTTTTGTTTCCTGTGAGTGATTGTTAATTCCAATTTTAGCATGTGCATGTGCTCTTGTATCATATATATTATATCTTGCCTATCCTTTCTTGATGTTTATATGTGACATGCCATACTATTGTATATAAAATAAATATCATTTTTTTTTTTTATTATCTTCCAATTTATCTTTAACTGTATATAGTAATTATGTTTAAATTCTCTCTGTTTCCTTGTATTTTATTTCTTTTGCTTGTACATTGTATTAATTCTGTAAATATTTCTTTCTGTAAATAGATCTGTTGATCTTTTTTTTGCTGCTTTATAAAAATACCCAACCTAACCCCTTCTCACCTGAGCTAGCATGGTAGAATAAATATTTAATGATGGCCAAATAATGGTTTAGTACCTTATATTTTCTAGATTTATCTCTTTAGAGATGAAATGCTGGTAAGCCAGGTGCCCAACTAATAAAATTTCTATGGAAAATTATATTTAATAAAACTTATTTTATTATCTTTTTATTTATCATTTCTTTGGTCATAGTTGTACAAAATATAAATACAATTTAAATACATAAATATATTTATATTTTTTCTCCAGTTTAAATATATTAACCAAATTAATCTATTTATCAGACGACCTGCATATTTATCCCAAATGATAACTGTTAGCGGTCTAACCGTACATATCACTCGCTAATCAGATTAACCCAACACTACTAAATAAGCAAATGAGCAATCCAAACCCTAAAGCTGTCCAATCAGAGAACAGTACAGAGAGGGAGAGAGAGGGCTCAATGGTTGACAAGGCTGTTGAGTTGTTGAGGGCGCGAATCAATCGGCAACACAAGCGCAACTGTTGATTGTCCGATCCTCTAATCAGGGACCACGATAATGGAGTCAGGTCGAACCGATACCGACACAACACATCTGATAGTGAGCAAGGACCGAATGTCCCCTTGCCTCACTAGTTAGTTTGCAAAATGACTTGTGCAACATTGAATAATGACTCTGTGCAATGCTAAGGAGCAATTGGGGTTATAGAAGCAACTACAGATTTGAGTTGTAGATTGGAATTTAAATACATGCATATAAGAAAATCGTCATCAGAGAGCCGAAGAAAAACGTGACTAAATTCAGCACTAAAATCATAGATGGTATGAGAAATCCTACAACCGCCCATTCATAAACCTAATGATGGAATTTAGGCGCGTTCCTTTCTCAACGACTGAATCACCGATATCTTAGCAGTTTCATCGGATTTTGAAGTAGATGTGATCTCATTATAACCGCAATGTTGTTATTTCGGTGTATTATTTTCAATGAATGAACCAATGTGATCGAACAAAAAATTCAAAAACTTAACCCCTTCTCAAAATTTGAGGTTTTACGTTTCAGGATACGTAGAATTCCCAAAATTTAATAAGCATTTTTTTGTCCGTCTGCCGTCCGCTCATTTAATCCGAAACTACTGGACCGATTTTTTTCAAATTTGGATTTAAAATTATGGTCACCCGATGATAATCATCCTTCATCAATATTTCTATCCGCCTTTTACTTTCAAGGTGGCGTCCGAAAAACCTTTGTTGCTATAGACTGTAGCGCCTAAACGAATGTACCGATTTCAATGAAACTTAGCTAAAGTCTTCATCTCAATGCCCTTTAAATTTATCTGTATAACATACTTAAACGAAATTTATTGAAATCAACCATTGCTAATAATAAATGGATAAAGAGCAACTATGATATATTTCCAATATTTCTTCTATTCGTTCACAAAAAATAAATATGTGGTTCATAACCGTCTTGATATAGCTGTCAAATTGACCATATACTTATACCTCACACAAGATAAAAGTGATTTGAATTCAGTTTTATCAGAACTCAAAAACTGTTACTTATCACTTTTAAACACTTTAAATCTTCATTCTACTAAAAATTGGAATTTTATTTTATTGTAGGAAAATAAAGGCTAGAGTGATGAAAAAAACATCTATATATAGATATTGAAAAACATAGGAAGTCGAACATCGATGGCATGTTTTTCCTTACATAATATGTCATCTCATACAGCGCTGAATGGCTTCAGAAATCTTACATCAGAATGAAATCATTTTCCGCTTTTAACCGATACTAAAAAAAACATATTTTCATGTAATTAAAGTAAAGTAAAATAATACCTATGTATAAAATAAAAAAACAGAATTCAAATATATTATAATTGTATCTGACTAACCGACGGAATTAAGCTTTAAAAAAATGCATTTAACCTATTTCCTTAAAGGCTTGAAATCGAATCTGTACCAAACATAAGCTTTTTTCATGCTTTCATGCTCAAATACAATGAATGGGGTACCGTTGGATTCAGAATCTCACGGGGGGTTAGCAAATCGTGCTCTCCGCTTTTGTTTTTCTTTATAAAATAAATAAAATCGATACAAACATCTTCCAAGGCTTCGATACCGGAACGGTGGTAAATCTGTAGAGCGATATGGGACAAATTGGGCTTTGAAGATTTTGATGCCTACACCAAGACCTGGATAGTTCATTCGAAACTATCGGGCCCTGCGTTTTTAAATCCAAAAACGTACTATTTTCGAGATAATGATATGCAAAGGGTTCGCATCTACACAATCTTACGTTAATTCTAGTCATGGAATACATGTCCCATTTCTTCGACTTGAGGTCCCTATGATCGAGAGAAGAGGATTTTATATTGTTCATGAATGGCGTTTTTTTTTTTTTTTTTTGGGTAAGCCATATCATCGTTAATTCTTCATCAAATCCACAAGATTGAGTCACAAATTTTGAATGTTTTCTTATCCAGCTGGCGGGAAAAATAGTCTAATCACCCAGAAAATTCAGGGGAAAAAGTTATAAAAGAAACTTTATTTGCGAATAACTTAAAAATTGTTAAATCAAATAAAAATGATGAACCAGTCATACATATTTTTTATTCGAATTTAACAACAAAAATCCTATAAAAAGGATGAATGATTTACTATGATGATTAATTATCCTTTCATTGTTGAGAAAATAAAATAATAAAAAGAAGACTTTGATTGCATTTTGTTGACCTTGCCTTTGGTTATGCCCATGATTATATAAAACAATATACACGGGCCTACTAGTATTACATTATTTTATTAACACTTACTTAAGGAAATGAAATACAATTAACACGGAATTTAGTACATGGGGACCAATACACAAGTTTGCAATAAACTCAATACGAAGTTGGAAAAGTTGAAATATTTAAATAAGTATATTTTATTTTTACCATTAACATAATATTTCTCGAACCAAAATATAGCTATTATATCAATAGATTAATTAAAAATTTAATTGGTTCATCCAACTTTTTTTTTACAGAGCGAAAAAATTCTCAGTTTTTTAAACTACTATTTTCTGATAAAGATATATCTATTTACATTTAGTTATTCAAAATTTTATACTTATAAATTATTTCATTTCATAATTTGTTTCCGAATTAACTGAAACAGCTGGAGTGAGAGTTTTGTAAAAAAAGTAGAGCCTGAAAAGGCACTTCGGATAAGGTACACTCAATTCACATAACAAATTTTCAACCCTGTAACTTAATTTGGAGGGGTTCGCAAAACAATGGAAAGCAAAAAAAAAACCATTGATGGAGGGAAGAGGAAAAAAAATTGAAACATTTAAAAGGCACTTCGAGCTCATTGGTTCCAAAGAGGATCGCTAGAAGTACACACACACGCACACGCACACGCACACGCGCGCGCTAACACACACATACATATATATACACATCCCCGAAACCGCCAAAATCGTGTTAAAGGGAAAATTATAATTTTCAAGAAAAATATGATTAAAAAATATACATTGTACAATTTTACAATTCCATTTTACAAGAGGTGCTGCTAACTACGGCCCTTCCCTATACCTGTATTTATTTTTAAAAAATACTTTATCCCTAGAGAAACTTTCGGTGACCTGCATCATATTAATCTCTATAATATAACACATTTCAATAAATAATTTTAATAATTAACATTACATGATGTTACATTTTTTTTTTTTTAATTGGTATGCAATTATTTTCATTCTCACACCGTACGTTATTCTTTTGTTTTACGATTAAAAACCATAGTGTATTTTTAAAAATAAATATAGAGTACTGCCAATGGTAAACAGATATCCTAATCAACTAAAACATATAAAACAGTCTAAAATTATCTGAATGAAAAACCTTCAAATCAACCCAGTATTAGAAAAACTAACTAAAGCTTATTAAATTTATTACACTTATTTTAAACGAATCCTTTCTTTTCTTTTGTTTTTAATTGACAAATTTACAGACACTTAAGTTGTTCTAAAATCGGAAGGAAATTTGTCAGGTTTGACAAATCACATATTTATTCTTGATAATTATTAATAAACAAATGCTGAAAAAATAATTGGTAACACGATTATTTTTATCTTTTGACCTAAATCTTTTTGTGTTTTTTTTTTTAATTGCAATTGAAAATCATCCGGAATACCTGTGAAACAAGATAACAAAAAAAAAATACAATAAGGGATAAAGAATGGCTAATTGACGAGTTAGCGGCCTTGGTGCAAATCACGTTTTGAAGATGAAAAATTTAAATAAAAGACAATGCAGCAACAATTAGTGTTGATTGACATTCAACGGTGGCAATGTTTATTCCAAGGCGTTGCGGAAGGTTGTTGCTCTTCGTCAACAAAATGCAGTCAGTCTTCTTTTATTATTTTATTTTCTCAGCAATGAAATGATGAGTAATTATCATAGTAAATCAATCATTTTTTTCAGGATTTTTGTTATTAAATTCGAAAAAAAAATATGTATGGTCGGTTCATAATTTGTATGTGCTTTTCCTTAATTGATTAAACAAGGGAAACCATATTTAATGTTAATTGTTTATTCGAAATTTTTTCTAAAAAGTTCAGCATCACTATTGTTTAACATAAATAATCGATAAATTTGAATCTCTTATTTATCTGTATTTAATGGAAAATTGTTATGCACACACGTTAGCCCAATTAACCACTCCTTCTTTTCTATTCGGTTCTTTTCTACTAGTGTATGTTCTTGATTTTATTTTCATACCAGGAATTCATCTTGAGTTATTCAGCACATTATTATTTTGGAGTAAAATAAAAACAACCTCTACGACGTTTTAAAAATCTATTCTATAGCTTGTTATTGTTATATTGTTTTATAAATAGAATTTAAATTAGGCAATTATAATATTAGTAGTACTCACTCAAGATCTTAATAAGATGTACAATCTCTCCTATGAGGACACAACCTGCAATGAAAATTAAATCGTTAATAATATCGTAATAAAATAGTAATAAAATAAATTGTTTAACAACGAAGGTTATAATTCATTTTCAAACAGTAGCAGTTTATCTTCTTCAACCTACACAATACAGATACGGAACTTCATTAATACGGAATTAAAGCTTACAAAACGAGGCAGTTTTTCTAAAACTGAGGTATCTTTATTATTATTTGAGGTAGGTAAAAAAAAAATTGCTAATGATTCATGATATTTATAAATACAAAACTTAGCTCAGTTTATCCACTAAAAAGCCCTCTTAAAATGTCCCCACTGGCTTCAGCACCAGTGACGTGGTTGAGAGAGTAGCGCAGGGATCTTTTGGAGTCCTGTTTTTCCTTCTATAGTTGGAGGGAGAAGCCTGGCTTTGGGATCCCTGCCTGATTGTATATAGGTATGACTGTATTTTTATATTTTTAATTTACTTATCTTCAGGTTATTTTATTTTTTATTGTACATAGTTTTTTATTATTATTTAGTTATTATTTTACTTTTTATAATTTCATGTTTTCTGTATATATGGTGTGAATTTGTTCATATATCATATATAATTATGGTCCAAGTGACAGATTATTATATTTCTAAATAAATAAAAAAGAATGGTTATGACGATGACAAAATTTACATTTATTTGAAGTAAAATTTGTCTAATTTACTGTAAATGAATTGTTAATTACGTAGATTAAGTATCTTTTAAATTACCGCTTGATATTCAACAAAAAACGTGACTTAATTAAAAAAAAAAAATTTTGAATTTCCTTCTTTGTGCTGAAAATTGGGCCATTTTTTATATAAACGTTTTTGTAGCTCTTGAGATCTACTATGACCCATTTAAGTGTTTCATTTTACTTATGGGACACATTGTAAATAAACTACAAAAATAATCAAGAGTACTGCCTGATTAAAACTATTATAATATATATATATATATATATATATATTATAATTAAAGATAGACAAATAACTAATATATACTTCTAGAGATATAGATATAGAGATACAAATGAGAGGGGAGAGGAACTGGTTGCAGAACGGAACTGGATCGATCCAACAGACCCGGATAAGGTAACCACCAGCCCAGATGGGCCTACTCCAGCCTAAATGGTTAGCCGCAACAACTTTTAACACAGTTAATTAATTATAATTAATGGAATGTGAATTTTATTATAAAGTTATAGTTTTAATATAAATAATTTATTATATTTAAAAAAAAAAAAGTGAGTAGGAAGGAAAGGAAGCCAAACTCCAGAGGTAGGTAAAACACAGGAAAATAATTTTTAAAAACTCATATGTTGTTAACCGATTTGAGTTTGCTTAAATTGTTTTGCTAAATAAAATAAACAAATTTCATTTATACATTAGCATTTCGGTTATCGCTAATATGCTATTCTTGAGTATATAAAAACCTCATGCTCCTCAGAACAAATCACTCATGCAGTTACATTCTTGAAGTCACACTCTTCACTGAAGGAAACCTGGAGTGAACTCGTGCAGTCAACCCATATATCCATAGTATATTACTTTGTATGTTAGATGCCATTTGTAACAGACATTATGAATAAAAGCATTACTTATAAAGTCTTCACTGCCTCCGATTCGTTAACTCATGAAATATCGTTTATTTGTAATTAATCAAAATTTAGGCTTTTAATAAAATAGTTTTGCCACTATTTAGCCTATTTATGACCGCCACCCCGGACCATCTCCTTCCTATATATATCAAATAGTTAAAAGATTTTTTAAAATTATTTTTCTACTCCTCCCGTTCCATCCGACTCACCTTTTATATTTTTTAAATGTAATAAATTATTTAAAATTAAATCACTAGTATGGAATTGGACGTGAAGAGAAATTATTGTATGAAAGTGGTTGGAGTATATTTCACGATATGAAGGCAAGGAGGTTGAAATAGGAGGGGCGTGAAGCTGGAAGCAATCCATCAAGACGACTCTACACAATTGGAAAGAAAACACAAGAAAGAGAAAAAAAAAGTAAATGAAAAGATAAAGAGAAGTCAAACATAGAACAGACTAGTTCAATTATAATTATGTACTAGTAGGCACACTAAATACTTATTGTTGTAATAATAAATAATTCGCTTAGTATATTGGTTAGTAAAAAAATTACAATAGAATATGGAAATAAGTACATGCAAACTTTTACGAGAGAGAAAGAGGGGGTGGAGGGAGGGAGAGAGGGAGAGAGAGAGATTAATTTTTTTTCAGGCGATTAAGATGGTTATAGTTCGTCTTAGAGGCCCCTTTTTATCGAATTATTAACATCCGCCTGAAACTTCGAAAATAGTTTCATCTCATCGTAACCTACAGCTATTTTATTTAAAAAACCTCTTGGAATTGGGGCGGTTTCAACCTGGTGGGGGCTGGAGGGGATTATTTAATTAGATACTAAAACCTCGTAAATACCCAATTCCTTTTTAAATGGAGTGTAAGAAAATTTGATCAAGAAATCGAGAAAAAAGATGGCCTTCAAAAAATATTAAGCCGTTTGGCGTGGCCTACGCCCCCAAATATTCAAAATAATTAGGTTATATATGACAAACAGCCCAATATTTTTGTAGGCAAACTTTTTTATCGATTTTGTGACCAAATTATCTTACGATCCATGTAGAAAGCAAATGTGTATTTACGAGTTTTTAGAACCTAATAAAATAGACAAAGCTTGACCACCTTCAGATTGAAAACGGCCCAATCCCAAGAGTTTTCGTAAATAAAATAGTTGTGGGTTACAATGAGATGAAGCTATTTACGAATTTTCAGGTCGACGTTAATAATTCGATAAAATGAGGTCTGTACCACGGACTAATACACATCCCCGAAACCACTAAAATCGTGTTAAAGGGAAGACTAAAAATATCAAGGAAAATATGACTAAAAAATGCAACTAAAAACTTTTCAATACGTAATTTTGTCTAACTATTTACGAAGTTTCAGGCAGATGTTAATAACTCGATAAATAGGGCTCTGTACCACGGACTATTAATTAAAAATAATTCTACATATTATACTATATTTACCTGTTGTCTATTTTATTTATTCTTTTAAGCATTTAATCCAACTCCATTGAGTTTTTTACATCATTCTTACAACCTGATTTTAAGAGTGCGGAATTGGAATATTCAGCCAAATTTTTCAGTTTTCCCGTTGATATTACTAATGATAGGACTAAGTGGAGCGCCACTTTTACATAACTTTACTATTTCCATGTATTCTAGGTGTATTGTAGCTAGGGTTAATTAGTTTAATTTCGTTTAGTAAGATTTTTTAAAGGTAAACAATAAAGTTTATTACATAAAATATACATATCAAGACAAGGCCAATCTAAAAATATCCTAAATGAATATTAATGAATTGAATAATAGCAAAGAATATGAATATAATAATTACAAAGAAGATGAAACCCTTAACATCTCCTTCGGTTACAGTATACAGGTCCGAATTTTAGTATCTGAAATATTTTAATCCACATATTCGACTAACCTCGTTATCATTTGGTTTTCGGCACTACTTTTTCCTTTTCATCTCCCTAACACAGCGTCAAGATACAATTTAGTTTGTGAGATATTTTAAACCATATGTAAAACATTTCAATCAGTCGACTACAGCCGACTTTACCCGAGCGTTAAATTCTAGCGGATCAATCTAATTCACTTTCCACAAAAAGTTTAAAGCATAAGGAAGTTTTCAATTAAAAAAAAAAAAAACGTAAGCATGTATTTGAATCCCAACAAGAGAAAATCCCAGAAGATTATTAAGGTAAAAATGAAATTACATAATATTTGCAGAAGTTAAAAAAGGATTTAGTTGCATTGGATTTTCAAGCATTATTTTCACTATCTTATCAACAGGGTCGTAAAATAAAAATAAACTTAATTGTTTCCAACAGTTAGACCATAGATAGAGTAAGCGAAAACCGCAGTAGACAAAAAAGAGAATATATTATATTATTTTTAACTCATAAATAATATTTATAATAAATTATGTCCTATAAATAATAAGAAATATTTACAAAGATAATAACAGACTTTAAAAAATACAACCAGGCAGAAAGGTATAAAATTTTAATTTGTTTTTTAAACTAATACATATTTTCTTATGATTATTATTTAATTTATTTATGTTTTAAGCATTATCATTTTTCAACTACAAACTTTGAACTATTCCATTGTAATAAACAAGTATCTTCAGAGGTGTTTCCGTATGAGATTATACCTCCCCCCCTTCACCAGCTGTGTTTAAATTGTATTTATTGATAAAATACCGATATACGGCTCACAAAACCGGTCTATATATATATATATATATATATATATATATATAATATATATATATATATATATATATATATATATATATATAATTCGTTTTTTTGTTAATTATGAAATTATAAATAAAAAGTTGCAATTTAGATAATTATCATAGATAATTATATAGTGCACTAGATACAATTTATTTTAAATATAAGTAGAATTTGTTTTTGTTAAAACAGTTTTGATTTGCCTTTTAAATAGTTAAACTATGATAAATTATGTTTTTCATAAAATTACATATTATTCAATTTCATTTTCTTTTTATCGATCTACAAAACGGACTGGATTCCCGAATTTTACGAAAACTTGTTTAATAATCTATTAAGTCCATATCAATTAACATTTATAACATGGTATGCTAAGATTCGTCACCATGTTAAATATCTATTTATTTTTAGAAAAATCAGATTTTTTTTTAATATATAAACGGTATTTCCGTAATTAATTTGATTAAAAACTCCACAGGACACAAACAAAAAATTTAAATTAAAATTTTTGCAGAAATTATTATTATTATTTGTTTATATATATATTTTTTTTACTTAAACTTTATCAAACAAGGAACATCGCTTAAGAATATGGAGTATCTGTAGTTCAGTTGTAGGATAAAAAAAAAATCTGGAATAATCTATTATTTTAT